TTTTTTAATCGTAAACGTCCGATTCGGGTTATAACTTTTTCGAATGAATCATGGAAGTTCATGGACAAACTCGTGTTGACGAGAACGCCGACGCCGTCTACTTTAATCTCCTGTCTACTACTAACCTCTACTGTCGCATGTTCCGAGGAACAGTTCTTCTCCGGTATCTTAGACGGCGTTGAAAGGCTGATGTCTCCTCGCCTAGGCCAGGCCGATGACGCCGTACCTTATCCTTCTTCCTTGCATGATCAAGTTTTCTATCGAGGACTCGGATGCGTTTGTGCATTGTAGGTACAGATCGTCACCATAGTTCTTTGAAATCCAGGCAGCTTCCATTGGCCCTGAGATTTTAGCAGCCTCNCGTCACCATAGTTCTTTGAAATCCAGGCAGCTTCCATTGGCCCTGAGATTTTAGCAGCCTCTCCGTACTCGTCCTACCCAGCGATGTAAAATTGGGGCCCTTTCGGGGTCAGGGGAATGAGGCCCGTTTTTTTTACTGTGTTTAGTACTTTTGATACCCACGCATAGCTTCTGGACTATGAATGTGGGGGCTAGGTATGCTTCTGGACTATGAACGTGGGGGCTCGGTATACTCACGGGTAGCTTGCCAGGCTCTCCCACAGTGGACACAAAGCCTATTTGTAGAAGCTGACTCCTAACCGCATCCCATATAATTCCCAGTTACTTGATTGCAGGCTTTTGGCCGAATTGACTCGTAGAATACAATCCGCATAAGCAAGAACGCACACACACATGCATGCATGAATACGCCTAACAAATACAGAAAGTATGTGCCAAATCAGCGTAACAGAAATAAGGAGTCCATCCCCTGGACCCACTTGCGTCTCAGGAAAGCAAAGGTCGCTTTTGGTCCGCGATTAACCCCTTATCCGCCACATGGGGACGCGCCACGTAGCATCGCGATAAACCGGCTCGAGATCCTTCATATGAGGGAGATCCGTGGCAACGCGCTATAATTTTAGAAAATGATACATCTCAAAATTTGGCTTGTGAGATCAGGAAGCCCTGCTAAGAGTAAACCAATACCAGGACCCATCACCGTCCTGGTATTAAAGTCGCATTGTGGCAAATCTCACTCTGATCCACACGGGCTGCGATTGCCTATGGTGTTGAAGACTTGGGGCAGACTTTGGCTAGGTTGACCTCGGGATTCCACGGAACCACAACGGCTTAACCAGCAAATCTCCGAAAAATGGAAATCATGCTGGGGCCTGCACAATCAGTACAGACGGGCCATCCAACTATTCAAGTATTTACGAACGTGCTGACATTTCGGCGGATTTCGCCTTCCTCTGAGGCTGCAAAGGTCAAGTTGACAGCCATATACCCAGCCAAACACCTTCACAACCACAACCATAACCATAGCCAACAATGGAAATTTCGCTGGGGCTCGCACAACCAGTGAAGACGGGGCAACCAAGTAACCAAGTAAGGTTCGATGCTACCGAATTTGCCGATCCCAGGATTCGACTCGATGCGACATCGACCAGCTGTGGACATCGGCTCGGATCAATCCAGCTCTGAAAAAGACGAAGATGTCGAAAGGATAGCCGAATAAACTTTGTTATCAACGTCGTGTTAGCTTACTAAACATGAAGGTATAGATTCTAAAGTCTTCGAGCAACCGTGGTAGGGAGTTCGGAGGCCCTTATCGAGGCGAACCGATGACAGAGAAGTCTAGGACCGATATCCGGAGATGCGAACGATGGAGACTTGGTTGGCACGGGCAGGTCGAGAATGGACCTTATGCAAATTGAACAACATGACTGGGACCCTACTATTCATGCTTCATATGTACAGTATTTTGTAATTTGTTCTGTCTGTAGCATCAAGGCTTCCAAAAAAAGTTTTTTTGTGGTGATCGCATCAATTATGTTAGGGTAGCACAAGTCAATGAGGTTGTACACAGTGGTATGCAACTGTTTCTGGAAAGCCACCGAATCATAACAACAACAACAATTGAAACCATCCTCTCGTCAGCTCAACACGAGCAGTTTGTTAGGATTTCTTCTTTTTTATTTGACATGACCCGTCTTCAGGCCTACTGCGTGTATCCCAGCACTTTCCACAATCAATTCGTTCATCGCACCCATTATCCACGAAGATCCTCCAACTTTTACGAATCACTTCGGCTGCTGCCTGAGAGTTTTTCTTTTGCTATGAATGTCGCGCTGATCGAGTCGATCTTCACTGGAGTCTTGGGATAGCTAGGCTGGAGTGTTCGCAATTGTACTGCAGAAAACGATTTTTTCCCGGTCCGAGTCTGGTACCAATTTTCCCGCCCTGGAAGAAAGAGAGGCTTGGTGAGCCCGGAGCGAGATCGAACCAACACAGAACCACACATGTTAATTAACGCCGAGGTTTACAGAAAGTCGAGCTTTTGAATTTGGAGGCCTCCGAAAGTCAAAAAATTCGACAATCACTGCCGAGTAAACTAGTCAACACTAGTAAAACCTCGGTAGAGATTCGATAGGGGCCCCTTTTTAGATACCAACCAAATTATTTATCTTTCAAGTAAAATGGCATGGTCCCATATTCCTCAAAGTCCTTAAGCATTCATAATGGTAAAACCAGCTATACTTAATATAGTACGTGCAACGCAACTGGCAACCCTACCGAGTTAAAATACCCTCAACGGCAACACTTTTCAATGGACGACTTCTATTAAAGGGTTCCGCCCTGTCCGCAAAAAGAGAGGTCCTAGCGCGAAGTTAGCTAATGCCATTCGCTATCGATTGGATGTAGCGTCCTTTCGGCGTCCATCCACCCTGTCCAGTCCTTTGCATGTGTGCTCGGTTTCCACTTCTCTATGTAAAGCCGAATTTAAGCATTTCAGCTAACATCGACCTAAAGCCTAAAGGAGATGGGATCTGCTGGGATTGCTATTGGACCCGACGGAAAGGTGCGGTTTCTTTTCTAAAGAGACTAGAACGCATGTAGAGGATTGCTTCTAGATTTTTCTCGTTGGAAAGTTGATAATGGAGTGGGGTATCCGTTATGTGTTTCTTTTATAGCCCTTGAAGAGACAAGAAAGAAGATCTCATCCTGCACGTGGATTTGCAAAGCATGGGAATAGGAGAGGAATGGGAATGGCAGGGGTACGGTTTCAAACTTTAATCGTTAGCAGTTTTTCTTATTTCTCCATACATATTTACTCAGTATCAGAAGCTGCGTTCGTAAGGAATAAAGCAAGGGTTATGGATTTTCAACTACTATAAACTTTACTTGGATACTTAGATGGCCTATTTTTACTGGTTGCATGTGCCCTAGCATAATTTCCACTTTTCCGGGTTTTGCTGGCTTAGCCACTGTGGTTCGCTGGAGTCTCGAGGTTAGCCCAGTCAAAGTCAGCCCCATGTCACCAGCACGGGTAGTTGCCGCCCTTGTATGTCAGAGCGTGATTTGCCACCGTGCAACTAATGTGATACCAGGACAGTGGTGGATCTTGGTTTACTTTTTGCTGGACTTCCTATAGGAAACACCGGACTCCTCAGCTCGAGAGATGTTGTTGGTGGATGAATACCCCGCTGTACATCGCGCCCAACATCCAGGGGCACCCAGCCACGATGAGGCAATAAACCGTTGGGAGGACAGTTAACTGGCGTACTGGTAAATACTGATGTGTGGATAAATCTGGTATACTTTTCTTTTCAAGTGTTCGTGAAAGGTACAAATATTCAATGTCTGTGACGTTTTCCACTGCCAGTAAGTTCAAATTTCGTACACAGCCTTAGCATAGGGGAGCTTCATTTGTAAATTATATTGTTACTTATTCCTATGTGGTGATTTGAACTCAAAGCCCTTCCTGAACTATCCTTCATTACTATTCGAATGTGTTTTGGGGTGTATTGAAGTATTGGTCTGAGGCATACCTAAGGTTAAATGACAAAGGAGCAGCACAGATATGCTAAGTCCATAAACTGTAATAAAGCTCTAAAAGTTATTACGGGGTTACCACTGTATCGACGTACCATATCCCCTTGTCTGTAATTCTAAGGGATTCCCGAATACATCCCTTGCTGAGACGCTGATTACAATCCAGTTATCGGATTGTTGACATGAACTCTATCTATGGATACTGCATTTTGAGTTTTAGATCCCACAGATAAAGGAGAAAGCTATCGGCTTTGATCAATCGCTGAGGAATGCGCTATGCATTCGACTTCATTCAGCATCGTTTGGACGTTACTTAATGCATATCCGGCCTTTACAATGACTCGCGTGGCCTACCGATGTATCGAGCCAGTGTTTCTATCCTCCCGGACAAATCTGTTACTAATTTGCCGACCAAATGGATGGTTTGGTGGGCCATCGACGTGGGAATCAATTCCACGCGTGTGTTGTAGGGCGCCTCTGACCATTGCGCCACACGCGTCCTTTAGGTGCTACACATAACTAGCTCTATTTGGAAATTAAACGTTATAAACTTATACGAGAGTAAGAGGAATTTCTTCTAGAGTTTACGGACTTCCGTAATGGCTTTTTCCATTAATATAGGAAATTAGGAATCTTGACGGAGGAAATTGCAATTCGTTTGTCTGCACAAAAAGAGAAGTCGCCAATAATTCGATTGCCAAAAATGGTAGTGGACTTTTGGTCAACAGGTCAAGAGGGTGTACTACCTGGAACCACCAAATAACTGAAGTCGACCGCAGTAGTTTAATACTTTTCCTTGTTGCATGTCTGAGTTGCTCTGCTGGGTACTAAATTTGGCATTAATCGCTAATCTAGTGGAGTGCTTGTAGGCTCCATGGAAAGTAATCATCAACTGAGAAACATTGGTTAAAGGTCCATTTAGTCATTGTTTCAAACTGGAGCTAACAAAGGAGGTAGAGAAAATAGGTTGCAACTAAGCAATGAATCCGAAAAGAACTACGTTATTTTTAATAAGGCTTATTTAAGGAAAGTATTCAGGGAAGTTTGACTTTCTTACTTGCACTTTTGCCAGCAATATGCCGAAAATCATTTTTTAGCGACCAATGCATGGAGGACCGGGTCCTATGATGAATCCCGGTTTCGGTAGACCGGGTCCATTTATGGAACCGTATGGTCCTTTTCCACCAGGAGTTAGAGGTCCAATGCCATTTGGAGGGCCGGGTCGAAACATGGGATTCGGCGAAGGCAACCAGAATGTCAGCTTTTTCAATGGTCCTCAATCGATGCCGGGTCCGGTACGTTTCCAGTGCTTATTAGTGGTATCCTGTAAGTATCTATACCTGTGATTTAATGTAATTTTGGATTTATCCATTTACCAAAAGGAAATATTATTTCTCTGAAATTCACTCATAAATGGGTATTTTTTCTGACTTATTTGAGTGAGCCATTACTTTCGATGTAGCTGATGAGCAGTGGCTGAGCTCCGTAGACGTGGCCCACTTCACTGGTCATCAAGCACGTTATAGTGCATCTTTTGCCTTTGCTAGTTTGTATTTCTTCACATATTTGGTGAAACGTGCTGTTGTTTTGATTCAAATTTTTATTAATCTGGATTTGATTTTAGAACATAATTTCGTGGAAGACTTCCTCTCCGTGCTGAGCGTTTTTGAGAGTTTAACTAGAAAAGTCAGCGACGGCGGCTGGAGAATATTTTTTTAACAATCCTTTGTTTAGGAAGAGTTAACACGGAATGTTTTTTGCGAATACAGAAGTTTTTTTTACTAGTCTTGGTGTTGATAGGCTGAAATCGGCTTTCTTTGACCCGATATGTTATTAGATGTATATCAGTTTGGCGAATTTTCGTTGCCAGTAGCACTGTCACTTGTAATTACGAAAATTGCCTCATAGTATCCGTTCTTTGGCAGAATACGCTTTAGGCAATGTAGCTATCGCGTAGGCCTAAGTGATTTTATCGCGTAACGAGAAAGACAAGCATGTTTGTCTAAACGGAAGATGTCATTGAGCAAAACAGTTTTGCCGCAAAATCGATGTTCGGCAGTCTTTTTTGCATTTCGAGCACATTAGTTGCTCTAAGAAGATCAATAGATGCATACCACAAGAAGAAGCTGTGTTCTTACTCTGCGACTTTTCCAGATGGGCGACGCTAGGACAGGTCCAATGCAGTCAGGTCTAGTTCGTTTCCCCCTAGAAGTTCAAAACCGATTTTTCGAGCCAACAGGAGCATACGTAGGAAGTGTTTCCTGGAAATATTATGAGCGGTGAAAGTTTTTTCCCACCAGGTTGCAAAAGTAGCTAAACTTTCATTGTTACTTTGGATGATATGGTCCTTTAACTTTCGAAATTTCAACGTTTTATCATTTCTTTCTTGCCTCTTCGAATGCAAATTCAGACCGCACTTCTACCTGTTGGCTCCACTTTTGACAAACTGTTGTTTAACTCTCAAACCATTGAAATATCTTTTTGGTTTTGATTTGTAGTACTTGTGTACCTGGATGCCATATGTTGTTCGTTCAGGCCAAACGGCTACACCATGTGCAGCTACTGTAGGGAGAGGATCCGTTGGATGTGGATCAACCGGAATGGCAAGTGTTAGTTGAATTTTTTGCGTAGTTGTCAGAATATGGGAGCATAGTTTTTTTGCGTGAGGTTCTAGAGATGCCGTACCACACTCTCTTGAGCGCATATTGCTCTCCGCCATTTGCTAACCACGTCCGACATTTCTCAGTGGTCGCCTAATTTCTAAAAAACTTGCTCTCGTAAAGCTTTCTCTAATCTACGACAAAGACAATATATTAATGCAGCAGGCAAAGGCATACAAATTTCTACATCTTGAATGTCGGGTTCAAGACGACAAAAGGGGATAATGTAGTGTTAGAATTCCTGCGGTATATATGAACGGGTTAATAAAACGTTAGCTTTTGGAGCTCTGTAAAAAGTTCTGGCTTGGATACTTGGACGGTCCATCTTCACGAGTTGTGTGTACCGCAGCACACTTACTATCCGTTATCTTTCCCTCGCATTCGTCGTCCATGGTTGTGGTTTCATCCGAGCATTGTGGCGCGTGCGAGTTTCATACCGTGATTTGTAAAATGGCTGCAGCTAGGTGTACAGCTAACTTTGTTTCCGAACGCATCGGCCCAACGTGCAAATAGCCGGCATGAGAGACGTCTGCATTCTTATAATGAAGTTCACTCTACATTCCTTTTCGACTGTCTGTTGTCTGTTCTTCTCATTATGTGACCGGTCTATCTGTTTCCCTATCGATGTTATTTCCCGGGATCTCGAAGATGTGACAGATTTCGAAGATCAGCGTTTCGCATTCCGGGTAGACATTGAGAGTGCTGGTTATGTTTCAGAAAACATCGCTCAAGCACTCTGTGAGTAGTGTGAAGCATTGTTGACGTGGTTGAAGTGTCTACCCATGTCTGCAGCATAAAGAGCGCTGGGTGGACCATTGAGTCGACAAAGTGAACGCAGATTTTGTTGTCCTTTAATTTCTCGATGGCTTCCCTGAGAGGCCCAAATTGGGCACAAGTTTCTCTCCTTTTTTATCTAATTCTTACTTCTTGTTATTCCCTATCTTCGTTGAACGCCAAGGCATACTTTCGACATCGTTTTTGCAGCCAGAGACTATCAAGTTTTATCTCCTCGTCTTTGCACCATGGGTTTATCAAGGACTGGGTCTTCCGACTTATGCCTAGTCCGATCTTTCTTCGTTGAGTTCGCTGGCGATCGTCTCTGCTTCGCCGGTACTTCTTGAGATGACGGCTCGTGAAGTGGTTGTAGAGGACACTCAACAAGCATATCGGGCTGTAGTTACGAAGATCCCTTCGGTCACCTTTCTTGGATAGGATGACCGTACGCAACGTCCGTCACTGGTTTGGGATTTTTCCTTCTGAAAGTAGGTTCTCGTATGGTTTGCGAGAACTACATGCAAATCGTGGCTTCTAGGTTAGGCGGTTTTTTCTCAGTAAGGATTTTAGAGTCAGGAATCGGGATTGTGGAATGTGGATAAATGTTTTAGTAAGAAAAGTTTTTACTGGTAACGTAAAGAAGCAAAGAAGCTGGTGTTATTGACTCATGAAATCCACGCTGTTTTAATTTGAATATAGCACATAGCTCTCATTTCAGGGTTCGTCTGAAACCAACAATGGTGTGCCATCAAACACTGCAAATGAAGTACCGGGATTTGGAACGAACAGTAGTATTCATGAATTATTTGGTAAGTAATGGTGTTGGTCAGAGTATATATTTTTCAAGGTTCTCCATCGACTTTAACGTTTTATAGAGTAGTTGATGCTATTATTTGACCATCTTTTATATAAGTTCGATTTGTATCCAGGTAAAATGGTCTGGAAGAAAATGGAGGGTCTTCGTGATGAAGCTGTCATTGATCGTCTACAGAATCGCATAATGAACATGATCCACGAAGCTCTTGCTCAGCAGTCTGATACCTCTGCAAGTAGTAACGGTATTTATTTAAAGTTCCGAACTGTCTATTTTTTGTCAATAAATCGAATTTGTTCGTAGGTGGGACAAACCAGTCAGGAGCTGTAAATGGACGACCCGCTAATAGCTTCAGTTCATTTTAACTAACTTTTTCCTCCTTTTATAGTTCGCGCAGCATCATTAGAAGATATTTCTCTTTGTCATTTATCGTTTCTAATCCTCTACTCAGAAGTATTTTTCTTACTATGACGTAGCTTTCCTTTGCAATGTTTTCTAATGTTTTTTTTTTAAATTTTTTTCATATTTGCGAACTTTTGCAAGTTATTATACTCGTATTTCAAACCTTGACAGAGCTTCGCTTCTGTGTTCGTGTTCTCGATAAATTGGTATTCGCTGTTGACTTTAATGTTCATTATGGTTTGTCCACACATATCCTGAACTATCTGATATTTGTGAGACATATATAATGCACATGTTCGTGAGTGCATAACCATGTATTCATGTATATTGTATTTGTGCATATACACGTGGATGTATGCTTGTATATCTGCTGTTAGGGCTATGGCGAAAGTCGATCCTGAATGTATTCCTCCTGATGTACCTGAAGGAGCAACGGACTCAGCGGTACGAAGTTAGATTTCGGTTGTAGTTCAAGATATGATTGCTTAACAGTCTTCCATTTTCAGGAAGATCCTTCTGCTCAGAACAATGTTGGAGAAAGAAATGCAGATGGAAGCGATGTTTGTGTTGTCCTTGTAACATATTTTATTTTGTTAACGATTTTAATTGGGAGTAAATAGTCTTTTAGCATCCTGTGCCTGGAACATACTTCAACGGAACGCCGCATGTCAAGCGTCCTCAGCCAGCGAAGGTATTCTTCGCGCCGCAGAAATATGGATTTTTCACCTTGAATAAAGTTGAGCAGCGATGGGTCAGTTCTGGCTTGCTTTTGGAAGCTACAGTATGTTCACTGTGATTGCTGGGAAATCCAGAGCTGATTTCCTTGTTATATGTGCTTTTCTTTCTTGAGAAGTAGTTTTGAACCAGTGTGCTTGTGTAATAGGTGTACCAAATATCATTTTTGTGTTTTCTTTTATTTTCTTTATTTTTTAGCTTTTTACTTCGTCGTTATTTTATAGAGAGATGACCCCGAGAAAGACAAAAAAACTCACGCTGATGATATAATCGCAAATGTTACAGGTTATTTGAAATTAATCTGTTTTTTTGTTTTTGTACGTTCTGAATATAGTGTTTACCATATTGCTCTTAATTAATCAAAGATTCGTCCGCATTTCTTGTATGAACGATAAGAGCTTTTATCGCTTCAACATTAATGAATGTTGCAAATCTTGAAACCTTATTGAAAATACCTTAATTATTATGTTATCAAGTTTGAAGTAATGGCAGTATTACGAAGTCATCTCCAGTGTTCGACAAGGGATGGTTAGAAAATTATAAGGAAACTTTCGGGAGATAGAAATAGTGTAGTGAGCGGTTTTTTCTCCTTTTGGTTATTGTGCTGCTTAGGCTGTGGTAATCTTGTACTTTTTCCTGTTCTTCGATAGCAGGGGAAACCTAACATCTAATATTCGCTGTTTCGAAAACTAGTATTTAGAACTAACTTAATGTTTAGAACTGAAGTGAGCCTAAAGCTCCAAAGCTCTCGACGTTGATCAATCCCTGAGGAATGTTTCTTCCGTTCGACTTCATTAAGCATCGTTTGCAGGTGATTGAATGCATGTCTGGCCTTTACAATGACTCGCAGTGGCCTAGTGGTCTGTCGAGTCAGTGCAGCCATCCCCCAGACAAGTCTGTTATCAATTTGCCGACTCCAGAGGCCCGCACCGATTCCACGTGTTTGTTGCAGGGAGCCTGTGGCCACTGCGCCACACGCGCCCTTAGGAATGCTTATCCAAAAAGCAGAACCAGGAAAAATCCAAGCAGCAACGTCATGTCTTGAGGAATCCTTGAAGATTTAAACTATGATTTGATTTTGCTTCCAAATTTTAGCAATTTCTGACAAATAGTCGCGAGACGTGCTTTTATTATGAAGAAGTTTTCTCATCTTATTTTGGAAAAACGTGGTGTAGAAATGCTATGGTTACCTATTCATTTCAGATCTTTTATCAGTTAATGTTGTGAGTAGAGTAGTCTGCCACGTGGGGCTTTTTTTATTTCAAAAATCGTCCCTCCGAATTGGGTAATTGCCGTTTTAGGTAGGAATTGTTAATGTAACAGTAATGGATTGGTGAATTCAAGTAGTTCAAAGGCGAAAATTCATAATGAGTAACATGACTTGTTAGTGAAGCTAATCAGACAAAGAGGAACAACGAGAACTAGCAATAGCAAAGAGTCTTTTATAAGTAGGTACCTAGGTAATACAGGGAAGCTACAACAGTGTTATTCATCATTAGCGAAGATGACCATGGTGGGGCGACATCGTGGAGGGATGCTGGTAGGAATGAGGTCTTAAATCGATTCTGCTCTTTAAATAGTACTGACTTAATGGGTGGAGCTATTGAGTTTAGAGGTGATTAGAAATATATGTTTGAGAGGAGGATAGTGCAGCAGAATGTAATTTCGTAAGAAAACGAATGACAATAGTGAGCGTAGAACAGTGTACAAAGAATGCAAGAAACATATGATAACATTAAAGGTTTGGGAAGTTTCTCTGAGTTATAAGGAATAGTCTCTATATTTACCCAACAGTTAGCCTTTGTAGACCTAGATGGTACTTTCCGTATGCTGCTGGTCTCTGCGAAACAGCTAGAAACCTAATTTTATCGACTTTTTTTTTACTTTATTTGACCCGTCTTCACGTATACTTTGCGGATCACAGCACTTCTCACAATCGATTCGTTTCCTCGCATTCATTATCCGCGAAGATCTTCCAACTCTACGTGTGGCTTCGGTTGCTGCTTGGGGATTTTCGTTTCATCTTGAGTATCGTAGAAGGCTAGTCGTGCAACTCCCCATGCAGTCCTAGGATGGCCGTGCTGGAACGTTCTCAATTGGATTGCAGTTTTTTTTCCTGGATAAGTCTGGTACCAATTTCTCGACCCCGGAGGCATGAGGGACTTGGTTGCTCCGGAGCCGAAACGAGCTAACACCATTCTCGTGATGACGGACATCACCACCACTGTGCTATCCCCTCCATAACTGGAAACCGTATAAAAGACAAAACGGCTTTACAAAAGGCGAAACGGCCGAAGATCTGCTAATTATACATATGAATAGTTTTAATAGCTCACGAGTCCATGAGAGCTGTAGTGAGATTTATTGTTGACCTCCAAAGCTGTTGATCGTTTTGAACAGGAACGTCTCTAGCATATTTCCTTGAAATCACCACCGTCCTCAATTACTGATTTACTTCTGGCATATCTGGCAGACGCTTGTGGCGTAGTGGTCGGAGGTGCCCTGCAAAGCACGTGGAATCGATCCCCGCTCCCATGGCCCACCAAACCTTTCATCGTTTCGGAGTCTCCAAATTGGTTCCAAACTTATCTAGGAGGATAGCAGCACTGGATCGATACATCAGTAGGCCACCGCGTGTCACTCTGAAGGCCAGATATGCATTCAGTCACTTCCAAACGATGCTTAGTGATGTCGAATGCATGGCGCACCTTCAGGGATTGATCAAGCGGAGAGCTTTATCTTTTTATCCTTTATATCTGGAACACATACCACATTATGAAATGGGGCACAATCTGTTATATGAATGTTTGCCCTCACTACAAACATCCTTACAGTTTAAGATATGAGTAATTATTTAGAAAAGAAACTGTCTGTGGAAATAGGACCCGGTAGGTGTTTTCTATCTTCGGTCGTCATGGCTATCATTTAGTTCTTTCCCGATTACTTGCTTCTCTAAGACAGTCTCTTGTCGACCTCTGGTTTACCACATTTTTCTTTTCCTAGGCGTTCATCGTTATGTATCCAGTGATTTATGCGCAGATCACATAGTGTATAGCGAACCCTCAATTCATATATAACTCTTTAGCTAGTGCTGCGTTGCTAACGTGATCTCATTCAGAAAAATTCTTTCCTGGACAGAAAAGGTCAGCTGAATCAGGATTGCCAGTGGCTCCCTCCTTTTTGCCGCCTCCTCCAGGAGTAGTGGGTTTTTGTTGGACTTTTCTGAAAATTCGTACTATGAAGTGAAAGAAAAAGCCATGCTTGACTAAAGCTAGCGGCTTGCTGTGTTTTTATGACTGGAAATTTTTAATCATATATATCCCATGTCTCTTTAGTGCTTCTTAGTTATGGCTTATACCAGTGAATAATAGAAACTCCTTCAGGTACCACCAGGCATACCACCGCCTCCATTTATGATCCCACCAGCTGCTCCTGCAAGAGATGGAAAGAGAATTAAGTTCAACGATGAAGAAAGTGATGAAAACGAGCTGTTTGGTATGGTTTCCCTGAATGGTTCTTTTTATTTGGTTATCATACTTGCACAATACTAGGTTTACCATGCGGATGCTTTTGAACGTAGGATTTGTAGAATTGTTTCGAAGTGGACATTAATAATAAAATTGTTAACGTACAATTGGTACAATTTTGCAAACACATTGTATCTCTAAACTCTTCACCTAAAGAATTGGTTTTGAACCGCGCAGAGCCTATTTGCTTCAACGATCAAAGTTTTTGTTGCATTTTGGCACAATGCTTTTCTGTGGTCACAGTTTTAGTAAAACGGGTAAAACGATTTGATTGACACTGACCATCGAACTTCAAACAGAAACCATAATTTTGGTGTGTGAATTCTGCAAACATGTGTGCTCCAGGTTTTTATCAACATCAAACGATTGAACTTGGCGTCATCTGTTATCGTAGGAGATTGATTTTGAATTACCAATCATAATTCAATCCAGAGGCATCGTTTTAGTATGTCGAGTAAGGAACGAGTTTCTTATCTAAGTAACTTTCTCCTTTTAACCTTTTAGCAATGACAATGATGCTGAAACATTCACAGAACTTGGACCTTAAGTCAGGTGAAACCGCGATTACCCTTTCTGGGGCTCGCGTTTTATACACTGGACCACTGAGACGTTGCCTTTCTTTCAGTTATAAAAGGTGAACCTTTTAGCAGTAGCTGCTGTCTCACTTATAGTATCTTCATGCTTTTCCCCTGAATTAAGATGTGATGCCATACATGCTCCCAGATTTTTTTCTTTTTTGCTATTTGTACAATAAGTGAGACGTAGGTCTGATCTTCAGTGTGACAGTATCAATAGTTCTCAGAATCAACCAAATTTCTTAGGTCTTTCATGGTTTGTGTGTGTAACGGTTTTATCTCCGTATTCAATTAATTGAGGTGCGTGTGGCGCAGTGCTTGGAGGCGCTACTGCGATACACACGTGGAATCGATCTCCGCGTCCATGGTTCACCAAGCCTTCTATCCTTCCGGGGTCGGCTAATTAGTACCAGACTTGTCTGGGTGGACAGCAGCATTGGCTCGATAAATCGGTAGACCATCGCGAGTCATTTTAAAGCAGATATGCATTCAATCACTTCCAAACGGTGCTTAATGGAAGCGAATGCATGACGCATCCCTCAGGAATTGATCAACGCTGGCAGCTCTCGCTTTCAATTAAGTTGAATAAACTGTTAAAGCTAAGCTTAAGCAGCCTATTCAACTTAATTGAAAACTACTGTGATTGGTTCATTTGTTGACAAAATATCTCTAAAAGTGGGACAGGTATGTCGATGTTTAGTGCGGCATTGCAACCATTTCTGTTCTGGTGCAGAAAGTATGACATTGATCCATGCTGGGAAATTGTTCTTAAGAGCACTTTGATTTTATAAACTAATATACGGCTAGAAAGAACAATTTCTTATATTTAATATGGTGTATAAAAAGCACTGATGCACCTAAAATTGCTCCAAGAAATGCTTAGGGGTTTCACAAACCGTTGCTTAGTAATCTATTAATGCCTTGTTGCCTTGACTATAAGCAGTGTTTCAGCAAAATTACTGTACAAGAAGCTTAGTTCGATCTCAAGCCGCAAGCGATTAGAAATTCTGCACGTTTCTATCATGGAGATGGTCAGGCAAGCACAAGAAGAAGATGAAAGAGAAAGAAATGCTGGAATAATGAACCCGTCTACGCAGCCTCCCTTGATGAACTGAGGATTTCATGTAATAAGTGATTCAAATATTCATTCCGTTGCAACTATTTTCTATTCCAAGTTACACATTGTTTCGATCGGTTTAAGCGTTGCGGATTTCGAATCGTGGTGCAGTATTTGGCATGTTCAGATTGTTTCATTTCTCCTTGAGAAGTCAATAAACCTTTGGCGGACGGTACTACGAAGAAGCCAACAGATTTAATTCATTTTGTCCTGAAACTCAGGACGAGCAAGTAGTCAGTCAGGTGGTTATTTTGTAAAACATCGCTTGCTAGATACGCTAGTTGATAATAAGGGATCATTTTAATGTATTATGAGCAAATATTCCGTTATATTTGTGTTGCCCTATAAATTGGACTCACACGAATGGACGAATGTGTTCATAGGGCGTAACACAGAAAGGCGGCGGTTTGGTAGGTATGGTTGATTGGCTATTGATACATTCACAATTGATTCAACTAACTCGTCGTGAACACTTGAAAATTGGTTCTATAAAGTTCGAATTGATTAATCCGACAACAGAATTGGAAGTTTCATAATAATGGAAGCTGTAATGTAAAGAAGATGAAGACTGTGCTTGCTGTGCTTGTACTATCACAATGGATCAAGATTAAAAGCAATAGCAATGGTGAGTTGTATCTCTAGTCGCTCGAGCATGGCTAATGCCTTGTTAGGAGCTGCTGGATGTAATTACTAAGCAGGTTTCTTTTTTTTTTTTTTTTCTTTTGCAAGGAAGAACGTCTATGGACGGTGGGCTGGAACCAACTAAACCCTGAAGAAGGGAAACGCGGAAGCGTTGACCGAATAGAACTGTTTACTGTTGTTGTATTACTTTAATAAACCAAGGAAACATTGTCTACTGTTTCAAAGAATATGTTGAAATATGTCTTTAGATGAGTTGAGTACATAGTTCGTCTTCTTAATAATGTTGTAGAGAGAGATTTATGAGCTAAACAATAAACAATTTATGAGCTGTATAAGTTTCCGTACTACCAATACGTTACGATTTTAACTTATTATTTACTGCCTATTCTTTTTAACGGCAGGGTATATATCGCGAAATATAGCTTTAATGATGCTGAGATATTTGCAAAACTCCGAACCGCAAGTGTCTGCGGTGGGGAACGAACGCGCTATTGTCTTTTTCGGGAAGTTACGCGTTCGCCACCACACCATGCGGTTCATTCGTTTCGCTTGTCTCTCAGCTAGTTCTGTTGATCTCTGCCGTCAGCGGAATTGATTTGGTGAACCCAAATCGGCAACGAGCCCAGTTAAGCTGAGGCTGTAGTTTTAATCACAAAATTTATTATTTAATACCTACTCTTTTCAATAGTAGCGCATATTGCGAAATTGGATAGGCGAAACGAAGTACCCGCTTGATGTGGTGGTGAACGCATTACTCCCCGGAAAAGACAATGGCGCGTTCGTTCCCCACTGCAGACATCTGCAGAGTTTTGCAAATATCTCAACATTATTGAAGTTATATTACCAATACGTCAATTGTATTAGGAAGAGGACAGCGCAGTTATAGTGATGCCGGTCATTATGTACGCGGTTGTGGTTCGATCTCTCTTTGGACTCAAGAAGCCTTTCATACCTCTGTGGTTGGGAAAATGGCGCTGGACATGTCCTGGGAAAAATCGCTCTCTAGAGTATTACTGGGATTGCTCCAGCCCGGCTACCTCAGGACTCGATGGAAAATCAATTTGACCGGCATTCTACGGCATTCAAGATGAAATAGGGTCCTCACGCTGGGGCAGAGGCCACACGTAAGGGTGGAAAGACCTTGGAGGATTATGCTTGCGAGGAATCGAATCGAATGTAAGAAGTTCTGGAATCCGCGCAATAGGCATGAGAACTGGTCGTGCAAAATAATAAGGATAATTGAAAAATTGTATTATGTACCATTCTGTATTGACCATTGTCGCGCCAAATAAACATTACTGGTTATTATTGTCTCGAGTAAATATTATGAAATTGCTAAGCCTACAACACGGATTGTGCAAAGCTATGGTTGTCATCGATTTTGCTTTTGATAGCTCTTCATCATCAGCAATATATATAACTGCAATTATCCTGAGATATCTGCAAAACTCCGGACCGCAGGTGTCAGCGGTGGGGAAAGAACGCGCTATTGTCCTTTCCGGGAGTAGCGCGTTCACCACGACAGCTTGCGGGTCCTTCGTTTGTCCTGTCTCTCAGTCGCTTGTCTATATACATATAGCTCTATCTTAAGTAGGTCTTAATCACTTAATATGCAGAGATCTTACTTCCGTAGGTGCGTCATTCTGTTTTCTCTGTCACTGCTATTTGCCACTGTTTCATTAATGTAGCTAATCTTTCCTCAATGAGGAACGGTATACTTCAATATTTAAATTTTGAAGTGAACCCTTTTCATGAAGAACCTTCCACTTTTCTGTCATTATTATCTTTCACTTTTTATTTGCTTTTTCGAGGACTACGTATTATGGTACATGGGTGCGTTCATGGATCATTATCAGAGGCAGTCGGCGCCATTGGGATCGGATAAGGGTTTTGCTGTACTTTACCAATATGCTGTTTCCAGGACGCTGGAAATTCCTAGAAATGGTAACTGCTGAGCGCTAGCAGGATTGATTTCCGCTTCAGGAAAAACATGTTATTGTGCTGGTATACTGTTACTACGATTTTAAGGGATCTTGTGAAGAGATCATAGTAGAGCTGATTAAACTGTAAAAGTATATAGAGCATTGGAGAGTAGTGTTATGCATTGTGTAGCATCTCTGCATGCCCGTACTCTGTAAGTATTCGGTTACAAGTTCTTTGAATTGACTTACAAAACACAGGTTTTCATTACTAAAGAACTGATATTCAGCAAATAGATCAAGATGCACGTGATTACATTCATCGACTTCAAAGAGATTTCTCTATTTTATAAATACTGAGTCCTTGGACTCAGTAGCGAACTTTATTCAGCATAACGTTCTTGGAAACATTCTCTCAAATTTGCGGATAGTAGTAGGTGCTCTGGAATTTAATGTGCGATTTCAACCTGTATTTTCATACTGATATACCTCAGTTAAAAGAAACTTTATTAGTCAAATTAAAGGCCATTAGAACCCGCAGATTTTTGCCAATGAGAAACGAGGCCATCATACCGGTCATTCAAAATTCATAGTGTCTAGAGGTTATGAAGATGGTAAAGGCAGTGTCGACGACGGCTTGCCTTCTGATGCATTTCTCGCGCAGAACGTCATCGAGATGTTTGACTAAGTGGTGGTCAGTAGCTGGGAGGCCTGGTAAGAATAATAGATAAAACAGAATAGTGCGTAAAACAGAGTTTCGCAGTCTAGTTC